CGTTCATTTTGGTGAGATGTTTAGATCTAGGTCTTAGAAATATTTTTTCATCTACAATTTTTTTGGATGGCTTTATTATCATTAGATGATCAATATTAAAAAAAGAAAAAATGATTTTGAGTTTATAAAGGCTAAGATCTTGAAATTCACAAAATGAATGGTCTAGATTCGTTTTTTTATGGGAATCATTTTGACCATATCTAGGGTTCAAATTGAACTTTTTCTTTAGGGAGATTGATTATTGAGATGAAGAGTATGTATGTGAAAAATTTGGGGTTTTACAAATACCACAAACATGGTTTTCTAGAAGTGTCGTTTTATTATACTATGATACAACTGTTGCTTTGGATCATTGCTCTCTATATACAGAGTAATGATCCAATGCAACGGTTGTATCATAGTATAATGATTTAATGCAACTGTTGTATCATAGTATAATGCAACGATACTTCTAGAAAACTATGTTTGTGGTATTTGTATGATTCCAAATTTTCCACACACACTCTCTTCATCTCAATAATCAATCCTCAAAAAAAAAAAAAGTTCAATTTGAACTCTAGATATCGTCAAAATGAGTCCCCTCCAAAAATGAATCTAGATCATTCATTTTGTGAATTTCAAGATCTTAACCTTGATAAACTGAAAATCATTTTTTTCTTTTATAATATTGTTCATCTAATGATAATAAAGCCATCAAAAAAAATTGTAAATGAAAAAATTCTTTTAAGACCAAGATCTAAGCATCTCATCAAAATAAACAACATATGTTAATTGGGCTAAAAAAATACTTTCTAGTATGTTTTCAATTTGTTCTTTTTTTGCGATTGTTCATTAGAATGAAAAAAGTGTATATTTCAAAATTTGGATCAAACAAATGATCATAAGATGGCTTTTTAAGGTTGTTGCATCATATTACTATACAACAATTGCATTGTGCTGTTTGTATAGAGCTTAGGCTCTAAACAATCAAATTAGACCCTACCTTCAAATAGTGTTGAGAAATGTGGTTTCAATACTGGAAATCTTCATGATAGCCTTAAAATATATTTTTATATCTTTATTTACAAAGTTTAAAGCTTAAAAAATAATGTAGATCAACAGATCTATGAAAACTTGAAAATCTTGGAAAATTGACGGTCCAAAAATACGTTACAAAATACACTGTTTTCAAAACTTGAAATCCATTTTTTTCTCATGTTCATGCATCTTGATGTCGAGATGATCAATTTGAGGATATTTGGGCATCAAAACAACGTCTTGTAGTGAAAATTTTGTGGTAGGCTCCAATTTGATTATTTAAAGCCTCGGCTCTACCGAACATCTGTGATCATCAGATTCAATATAGGCCATTGGGCTCATTTTTACTTGTGAGCCCATCTATGATCATCAACGTCTCAAGTTTATTGCACGGTCATAATTGTCTAATAGTGTTTTATTTTTCATTATATTTCTATAAATCAGAATGATATGAAATTTGGAATGTGTACACATCTTAGTAAGGCACACCTAATAAAAATATGAAAAAAATATTTCGTAAAATATAAATTGATCAAAATACGCCCATAAATTTTTAGGGGTATTTTGATCAATTTATGTTTTGTAAATTATTGTTTTTGTATTTTTATTATATTCTCTTATTTTTTATGAACACATGCTACAAATTTCAGATCATTCCGATTTGTAAAAAAAAATAAAATGAAACACTACCAGACAACTGTGACCGTACGATAAACTTTGGACGATGATAAGCATAGGCGAAATCACTATTCATTTTCGCTAATATGCATTGTGTAGTGTTTTTCATATATATATATATATATATATATATATATATATTAAATTTGAGCATAAAGTTAGGTATCCTGAAAAGAGTTCTTGTACTCGCGCTCGCAACGTGATATAAACCATAGATGTTTATACTTTTGGCATAGTATACACACTTTAAAATTAATACAACAGGTGGGGCTCATGTTTGAAGACATGTTAACTTACCGAAAATAAATTATACTCCTCATTATCCGAATCTTATCCCAATTATTTAGAGTCGACTACTAATAAAACTAAATAAATATGTAAATACTAAACGTTTTCAGACAAACTATAGAGATGGAGACATGGCACTAGAGATCATGGTAACATGTCAATGAAGCCTAGGGTTGCTTTCACAGCATTGCGAGCAGCAAGGGGCCCAAAAGTGCTGATGGCATTTTGCCCTTTTTGCCCTCCTGCTAAGTCAGACAAGCCCCTAATAACAATCACAGGGAAGCCATTGGACAAGCTCGTCTGCAAAGAAAAGCATATAAATATGTCAAAAATTCTTAAGTAATTCTTTCAATTAAGAACTAGTGCGAGAATATGGGGGTTTCTAAAGCTAAGGGCACGTTTGGTACTCATAAAAATGTTTTTGTAAAAGTATTTTTATATGCAAAAACTCCTCCGAGTGATTAGGTTTTGGGAGTTATTTCGCACCGGTAGGCTGCCAATTACTGTGAAAAAATATGTTGGATCAATTGGTATAAAAAAGCTCCCACACCTGATCACATGGGGTTGTTCTTTCATATGAAAAGGTTTATCTCGTATACCAAACATGTTATATATGGAAGTTGGCTTCATGAGAAAAAGACGTAAAGGAAATATAAAACAATTGAAGAGAGATTTAGGGCAGGTTTGAATTAAAATTAAGAAGAAATATCAAGCTAGTTAATCATGAATCATTAAAGTGGCTTGGCTATTTTCTTGATAGTTTCTTGAGTTTTCAAAATATAATGGTATTTATTTTATTTTTTTGCTCTTGAAAAATGGCAGTACAAGTAGGAGATTATATAAGGGTTTGACCCTTGAAGTTTTTCTCCGAAAATTAATAAAGCTGATCCCACCATTTAGGAGTCGAGTTTGGTTTGATTGGTTTTGGTGTTGACATTGCAATGCTACATCTCAAATCTAACGACCGAAAAGGAAAAACGCAAATGAAGGGGTTTTATAGCACACTTGATACAGGCTTAGAAGTTTTGTAGCAATGGGGCCTGAAAGGATATAATACAGTAGCACCTAATATACATGGGCTTAATATATATATATATATATATATATATAGAAATTTATCAACATATACCTAAGTTATGATGATAATTAACATTTCAGCTATTTCAACTTATGATCATGCTGATTCTGATGGGGTTTTTGAAATTCAATCAAAATAAATAGGTAAAATACGTTGTTGTGAAGCATTAATCTTGACAAAAAAAGAAGAAAAAAGAAAAAGAAAAAAACAGGGTTATTTTTTCAATCCAACCCAACAAATTGAGGGTTTACCATGACAATTGAGGCACTCTCCTCATCCACAGAGGAGACATGAAAGTTGTGAAAGAGGAAGCGACGATAGGCGGCGTTGTCCACAAAAATGTTGGCAGTTGCTGCTCTAAGTCCTACTACTAACTTTCTTTCATTAGCAACGCACAAACTAGAGTTCAAGCAACTGTCCAGCTTCATGCCCTGCAAGTAACAATTATAAAAGCAATAAATTAAAGCCATTTGAGGGGCCAACAAAGAGAGAGTAGAGCAGAGTAGAGTATGGCTAGTAATGGGCCGGGTGGCCTGTCCTGGCCCTAAACAAGTAGGGCTTGGGCTAAAAATTGTGGCCCGATGGTGATGTTAAGGGCTTAGGGCCAGTGCCGGCCCCAGCCCAGAGCTAGGCCAGCCCTATGGGGACATGGGTCGGGCCAGCTTGCACCCTTAAGATAGAGCATAAATAATAAAGTAGGACCATTTAGGAGAGATACTAAATTGAATTAAGAGCACTTGGAGATAGAGAGCAATAATCAAAGACCATTTGGGAGAGAGATCAAATAAATTGAAGTAAAACCATTTCAGGAGAGAGAATGAGTAAAGACCAGTGTGCCGGACTCACCCCGTTTAGGGTACTCGCCTCCTGGCTGAGGCGAGTCACTTGGCAAGTCCTCAAGACTCAGCTGAGTCTAGCAAAGGGCCATTTAATTTTTTTTAAAAAAATTTATGAAAAATTTTAAAAATAAAAAACATGTGTTGAAAGTAAGTTCAAACCTAAAACAGCTCTAAAAGATTTAAACAAGCTTAAAAAAATAGAGGAAGAGTGGATTTTTTTTAAAAAAATCGATTAACAATTCAGGATAATTTAAAATTTATGTATATATATAGATAAAGATTACGTCAAAAAGCATTTGTCAATCTTAGCCAAATACCTCCAAATCAAGTAAGAAAAATTTGTAGAAAATTTTTTTTTTTTAAATGCCCTAAGTTGTACACACAACTCTGGGGTACTCGACGGGTCGAGGGACACCGATTAAGACCTTTTAGAGAGAGACCAAAACAATATATTAAGACTATTTAGAGATAGAAACTTAAAAATAAAAGAGGGAGAGAGAGGGACTAGCCTCCAAGCTCTTTGCCAGATCTTGCCATTGTGAAGTGGTCTGAGCCCATATTAGATCTTCAGGAACGTTAGGTTTCCCATTATGGGAGTAAAACTCCTCAGGTTGATAACCAATACGACCCAATGCATTCTTTCCTTTGGCCCTCGGCTTATTGTATCTTCCAATTACCAGCATACCAAAGTCCTTCTTATCCATCTCTCCATGAATATTCTATCACGTAACAATAGCCAATTTACTAAAGTTAGCAGAAGGGAAAGGGAAATTTTTACATATAGTTCTACCTAGCTATAAGATATGTATATATTTTGTTATTCCTACCCATCCGATTTAATTGTTATTTTTAGTACTTTGATTTAAATGGACATCTGAGATAGCATTAATCACGATGTCACAAATTAGTTTCTGAGCGTCTAATTTTTATCTGATAAGTTATAGTATTTTTATTTTTATTTTTATTTTAATTGGTGCGTTACCTAATACTTATAGGAGAGCATCTAATAAAAATAAAAAATATATATTTTGAGTAAAAATAATCAAAACCATCTACAACTTGCATGGCATTTTGGTCTTCTTATTTATAAAAACTATATTTTTTACATTTGTATTAGGTTTCTTATTCGGAGTGGACACACCCCAGATTCCATGTTGAGGTAGTTTATACAAAAATTAACAATACATTGTTTGATCTGACATCATAAATAAAGCTATCCCACTAATTTGTTTGAATTTAACAATCACACATTTTTATATGCGGGTGATGCCACATGTTAAATTTTCCAAAAATTAAAAATTATATATATATATATATATATATATATA